TTCTGAGGGAAAGGCCACTCGGTGGGGCGAGTGTTTTGAGGGGTTTGGCTCCGAGCTTGCAGGGTGGCCTCTGGTTTCCTGGCACATAGCCCCAGGATGGTCAAGGCCGAACCCCATCGCCTCGGGGGTGCGAAGGCCGTGTAGAGGAGGCATGCTCTGGTCGTCTGCATGGCACAGGCACGCTCCTGGCAGGACCCTTCTCAGAGCTAAGAACTGCTTAGTCCTGGGAAAGACACCTCTCCTCAGAAAGACTTTAGGATGTCCCAGCGCTGTGACCTGCAGAAGACATGTGTGCAGTGCAGACTCCCACGGGGTGAAGGTTCAGGAAGGAGGCGTAGGAGCTTGCTCAGGCCTAGCCATGATGGTGCAGGTGTAAGGTTAGAGTGAGAGAAGGTGCTAAAAAGGCGGCACGGTTCTGGAGCCCAGCGCTTAACCTCTGGGCTGAACCCCCTGAGTGCTGGAGAGCTGCCCACTCTGCCGCCAGTCTTCTCGCCTCCTTTCAGTCCTTTTAATCCGCTTTCGGAAATGTAAGCCCACGTCCACAGATGTTTTGAGAGCGCTGGCGAACAGTGAGAGCAGTGTTTACGACACTCTTCACGTGAGACCCAATGTATAGATGCATGCTCTGAAGATGCCTCTAAGAGCAGGACACATGATCAGTGTGGAACCCTCCCGCCCCTCATACCGTGCACAGTAGAAGAAAGTCTGTGACTGCTGTGATGGCCTCCGGGGCTCCATACGATACCCCATGGCCTCGTGACAGTTCTATGTGTCAACTGGCTTACCCACGTTACCCAGGTACTTACGCAAGCACGGGCCTCGGTGTTGCCGTCGAGGTATCTCGAACATGTGATTATCGCCTGCATGTGGTGGACTACCCACAACAGGCGGTTCCCACAGGAACAGGGTGGGCCTTGTCCAATCAGTTAAAGGCATTCAGAGCAAAACCCCAGGGGAGGGGAGCACGAGCGCGTGCGTGCACACACGGTAAACCCCAGGGGGAGGGAAGCACGAGCGTGTGCACACACAATAAAACCTGGGGGAGGGGAGCACGAGCGTGTGTGTGCACACACAGTAAACCCCGGGGGAGGGGAGCACGAGCGCGTGCACACAGTAAACCCCGGGGGAGGGGAGCACGAGCG